TGTACAAACGTCAAACGGAAGAATACATTCGTTTAAAAACGGTATAATACGGTAGACATATATATATATTATTTGCGATTTAAATGTACTTGTTACAGAGTCCTCCAGAGGTCCTCAAATCTGGGGTATCACAAACAACATGAAAATCTCTCCTTCAGCAAATCAGCTCTTCATTTACGAGGGGTTGTCAACAGTGTTCTGTGAGGCTGAAGAAGGATTTCACTTTTATAAAAACCTGAACCTAATGTGTGGCAACGTCTATCGTAATTCTACCGGTAATGACAAAGATAGAAGCAACTTAACTTCAAAGTGGTCTTTTAAATTTATTAAATTACAAACAAAAGCCATAGTGTTGGCATTTTATGTTCAAATTATTCAAAGTAAGAGTCATCAAACACGAGCAAGTTCCGCATTCGAATGTAAAGAAACCTTTTATAATATGTAATTTTAAATTTAACCTTGCTTTAAATATGTGTACCAACTTTGGATTGTGGGATTTTCCTTTAAAATAAATTTGCCTCGAGTCAAATTAAGTTCCAACTTGTCACGTCCTACATAAAAGTATAACAACATTTAAATTTAATGATACAAAAAATAATATACATAAATTATATATTTATATTTTTAATTTATTTTCATAACCTAAATGACCAAAAATGGCGTTTAAAACACACAAGAAACAACTTCAACTAAACATACAAATACAAAGTAGATCCAATGCAAAATTAGTTGCTTCATAATCTCTTTAAAAACGAAATAAATAGAACTATTGATTTTCCTCTTTATTGAAAATCGATTTTCTCCAAGTAAACTTTGATGATGTTTGAAATTTTTTTATTATTTTTTTTTTTTTTCAAAAAGATAAACTCATCGTGGTTCACCCAATAGAGTTATCATTATTTTATTATGTTTTCAATATAAGCATTCACCTTACGTAACGTTGCTATTTTTAACACAGACGGAGGAGTTGTGTTCTTGGTACTAAATATAACGAAGGGATCAGAGGTCATTACATGCACTTGTAATGCTTCACCAGAATCAGAGTGTGTCCAGAATACAGTCTCTGTGATGCTTTTCGTAAACGACCGTATGTTTTACATATAAAAACAACAGCATAAACACATACACGCAAACACTCTAAAGTGTTTGGGTTTTATTATTATTTTTTTCGGTATTTTATTATTGAAAAAAACAAATTTTTTTCCTAGAAAATATAAATTATATTCATCTTAAATACCAGAAACTGTATTATAATAACATTACATATGCTGGAGACGTAATTATTTAATTTTGTACGTAGCATTTAACCACAAACACTGCTTATAATGGCTGTATTTACACGTAAACTTCTATTGTAACAGTCTAAGACATGTACACCTTTATTTCTACAGACGGGTCTGACACATTCACTGAGATAAGTGGCGTCATTATTGGACTGGGTGTTGCCACAGGACTTACAGTGCTAGGTTTTCTAATTGTGTTAATGATTTGTATTGTCAGGGAAAATAAAAGTAAGTTTACAAGTAAGAATTGAAAAAAAAATAATTATATATTAATAGAATCTAAATGTATTATAGAATTATAAATTTAATTTTGTACTCAGTAAATACACTACAAGAGAATACGTTAATAATTTAATTTTAAATGCCTTTGAGAAGCACACTTTTTAAATGAAAGTTACATTTAGCAATAATAGGTACAAACTTTGTATTATCTTTGAGTTTATGAGGCAGACTGGCTATATTCGTGTTATAGCATGGTTTGCAATAAATTAAGCTAGGAAAGAATAAATTACCAACTAATTTAGATATCATATATATACTTCAACTCGATATCAAACTCAGTCGAAGCAACACTATATATTGAACACACTCATTGTATGACATCAAGGGCGAGCCTTGTCGACATGGCCGTAGTGACTACCACGGAAACATAACCACCACGTTGTTATCCTTCATGGAAATAACGCTAAAAAGGGAATAGGGATCATGATTACTATGTCGTTGATGATAAACTTAGAAATGAGGTGAGGTAGGGGCAGCTTAAAGCTAATGATTCTAAGGGAACAGTCTCTGGATGACGCCGTTCCTAGGCAACCGTTTCGTTACAGCCACTCTGAGAACTTCTTGCGAGCTGGAGGGCGTCCGACGTTTTTCCCGGGATGGGCAGGACATGGATATTAAGACGTACATGCGCCATCGTCACCCCTAGGAGAGTCGCTTACTTGTGTTGTAAAAAAGGCACCACTAGGGACCGGCCAGATTAGCCCACGTAAATCGTGTCAAGTAAAGATACCGGTAGCGGTGTTCGTACCAGGAGATATCAAACGTGCCGCCTCGCGACCTAATAATTACGGGGCTCTTCGGACTTGAGTTTGAGAATACTTTTAGGATGGGGGCGGGTGGATTTAAAATTTAAGCGCTCCGGCTCGGCGGCGCCTTGAAGCCATTTCCTATGTACATTTTACACCCCAACAACTTTCTACCAATGAGATTTCTCGTCCTTAATACATGGACTTAAATTAACCCATTCTTTTTTCAAGCAAGTTCACTTCCTTCGCTTGCTAAAACATTGGCCTTCATCTTGACATTTTTTATGTCATTAAATATGTGTATATAATATATTTATATAGCTCTATTTGGCAATGAAACATTTACTCAGGATTCAAACACCTTGGCAAGCAAAATATTTTTCTAGTTATAATCATAGTATTACATTGCAATATTTTTAAAGTATTTTTTTATTTACTAATTTTTAGCTGAATATATTTATATTCATATATTTATATTGATGTATGATATATAGATAAACGACTAAAAATAAATAAATGAATATGCATTATTTCAGTGAAAAATGGGACAGCTTTAAAGTACATTGAACCTGAGTAAGCTTGACTTTGAAAGTCCTTTGCATTAGTTAATCTAGCTAAATAGTGTTATATACAATGATACAGAGATTGAAAGAATGAGAGAGAAAGAGGAGGGCAATGAATAGAGAGAGACGAGGAAGAATGAGTAAGAGAAATGATGAGAGCGAGAGATGAAGTTAGAGTAAGGTGGGTCTTAATGTAAGATGGGTCTAAATGTAAGGTGGGTCTAAATGTAAGGTGGGTCTAAATGTAAATTTACTTAAAATCATTTAAGAAAAGTAACCCAATGTGGATTTTTTCAGTGAGACAAAAATCTATTCGGAACTACAAGGTAGGATTTTAAAATTGTAAAAGTATTCCTTCAATGCTTTGTAAAAAAAAAAAAATGGTACTACTATAAATTTCGATGCTTTTCTGTCAATATATGTTTAGGTTTTAACATCAGGTTACTTATTTTTAAATATAACTTACTTTTGAAAAAAAAGCAAAATTAATAAATATCACAAATATCAAGCTTATGCTGGCTTATTTTTTTTTAAAATTATAACGTATAATCTACAGGTACACATCCAGCTGTGAGGGAACAAAGAAGCAATTATGAAACACCAAAGTTCAAACAAGACAACTTTTATGAGATGGACAAACCCAGACCATGTAAAATGCCAAACTCATATCAAGAAAAGAAAACTGGGGATAAAACCTTTCTGGGAGGATTTATAATTACAAGTGATGAGAAAAAGACGGAACCAATAAATGCAAATTATGATAAATGTGGTAAGTTGATATTAATAATATTAAAAAATATCTTTAATATTTATTTATATAAAATTACTAAATTAATTGTTTAAAATGTAAAAGTTAATATATTTATGTCATTTATGTTAATATATATTAAATATGTATTTCTTTCCAAGATGTAACCAATACATCAGCACAAGAAAACCACTTGTATGTGGAAGTTGCGGACATGTGAAGAGATTACAGATGAACTTATACGTTATGTGGATTTCTTTGGATAAATATTTAATATGATTAAAACATGTTCCCCCTTTTTAATATGAAAATGTAATGATTTCTTCTTTGCAAATATTGATGCTTTATATGCTGTATATTTCTAGTTTCCCTTTGATAAAATACCATGTAATGGAAAAGTGCCATCAAATAAATAATTATTTTAATTGCACAAAATAGTATAGAACAATTTTATATTAATGCTCTATTATTGTTTTTTATTCATACTAAATTTAAGAGCTTAAAAAGCAGGTATTCAAATTGATTGCATATCAATTGATATTTTCTCTATAATTATAAATTACATCTTTGAAGCCACTTAAAATAGTTTACAATCTGTTTCCTACATCTTAAATATAATGTTGACAACAAATACCACCAACGCGTTTAGCTACCGTAAAGTTTTGCTGTATAAAATAAATCATTTCCTTATATAAAGTTTAGCTTCTCCTGCAAAGCGTAGATATTTGTTTCATTATGTAACCAACCAGTGTAACTTTTTTTTTTCTTTGCTAGTTCTGTAGGATGTGTTCTTAAACATTATGATTTTATTAAAGACCGCTGCATAGCTTGGTTTTAAATTCATTTATTTGCCTTAAGATTACTACTCCTTGCTGACGCAGCTGATTTCATCTTCATTGTTTTTAATCAGATTGTTGATCCAAGCCAACATAGAAACACGATTAACTAAATTGTTCATGCATTTGTCAAGCCGTGCAAAAAGCCCGTGAAAAATGTGTCATGCAAAACAACACCCAACACTCGCTCACGCATACTCATACACGGACACACATGTACACACAAAAGCACATACACAAACATTCATAAACTCACACAAACACACACATATATATTTATTGACTAATACGTCAAGAATCTAAAAACACAAAAAAACACACAAAAAACACGCTATGTGAAAAGGCATTAGTTAAAAAACAAAACGTTTTATTAATTCATAAATTGTTTTGATTAAATTTTTTTTTTTAAATATGATTTTGCTCCTTAAGATTAACATGCATTTTTTTACGTTTAACATGTGACTTAATTTAAGGTTTTAAACGTTGGATACATTTCATGCTTTAATAAATTAGTAGATAAATGCCAAGGGTACACAACAAATGTATTTTAAAAATGTCTCATACATTCATTTAAACATTCAATGAATGAAAACATGTTTATGTTAAAAAATTAAAGATTTCATTTTTTAAAATCATGTATCAATAAAAAAATAATGATTTTACTAATTAGGACGTACTAAAATCAATATATCATTAGCAATATCAAAATAGAACTTGTCTAACACAATTAATTTTTTTTTTAAATCTATAAAATATTTACAATTATTCCACAATTAATTACACAAAATATTCTATATACAAATAAAAAAATAGAAAATGCCTCACGATATGTCAATAACAAATAACCGTAAATAATATTTGTGAGTTTAGCTTTTCCAACAAATCAACATATTCATTTAGTAGCATCAGAAAATTTCATGGCTTAAATGGTTCAATGCTTTTTATAGCGTTTATAATTTATTTTAATGTTTACACATTTACGAGATGATTAAATGTTATTTTTAAGAATATTATCAAATTATACTTACACTTATAAAAAAAATCAACACTTTATTTTGACAAGCATATTCGGTTCTTGGATGAAGACCGTCCTTGTATTTTGTAAATATTTTTTTAACAAAATGAAAATGTCGCTTAACAAATTTCATTAGGCAGACTCTGATTTTCTTAAATTTCAATGGATACAGAGGCTGAAATATCTTTAAATAAATGGTTTTCCAAGTTTCATTATAAAAATGATCTACCTTTACCCTACTTTTGATTTATATATAAATTGTTTTAAATTGTATTAGCTACTGGTTTTTATGTTAAGAACTTTCAAAATGTTAACAATGCATTTAGCTTGAATTTGTTGAGAATATGTACTCAAAATATGGGTTATGTTTGGTTAATACTGTATTTATAATACTTATGAGCTTATAAATTAGAGCAGCTTTGTTTAAAAACGTAGGAAAAAAAAGACTTAATTTATTTTAAAAACACAAATAAATCTGAAATAATGTTACAATGTACGTAATGCAGTGTGAAGGTTCAAAGTATGTTGAGTTTTATGATTGATGGGCCTTAAATACCATCGCCAATGAATCAATTCTTTCTTTTTTTTTCTTGCACTAAAAATATAAATTTACATTTTAAAAATTGTATAAAATTGTTTTAAAAAAATTGTAATACTAAAAACAAGTGCAAAGCAAGAAACAAATTTTCTTGAAAAGCTATTCTTATTTACAAGTCAACAATTATGTAGAAATGTGAGAGAAAAACTTTCACTGGAGTAGCTACGTCCTAAATATGCACACTAGAAACATACTTAATAAGTACCTTCCCCACAGTAAAATGTCGAAGGCTGCAATTCTCACTACAATTTTAGAAACTATATGAAAAGCTTGTTAAATAAATACACACAAGCTAGAATTCGTTTTCTAAAGGGGAAAAATACCAATAGTAGGATAGAACGAATCAGCACTGCTATAATTATAGAACGCATACCTTTTGACAGCACAATTTAACTCAATGGAAAATATAAAAGAGAGTTTTTATTTAGTATTAACATAAATGAAACCAAAAAAAGATACAAGAGATGAAACTTTTCAAGTATATTTTTTTTTAAATACCCTCACCCATTTTCATGGGATTTAAAAACAAATATCTATCGATTATTGTAGTATCGGTATTCAAGCAAAATAAATTATTCTATAAAAACTTGAAATCCACATACAGAAATTATGTATGTGGGAAAGTAGCCGACCGATTTGACAGAAGAAAATATAGCAAAACATAAATCCTAAATTCATTCACTGAAATACACTAACAATTATTTATATATATATATATATATATATATATATATATATATATATATATATCTAAAACAATTACTTTTCATATTATATATATATAAACAATTATATATATATATATATATATATATATATATATATATATATATATATATATATCTAAAACAATTACTTTTCGTATTATTTATACATGGAGAATTAACAATTATAAATAATTTAACAGCTGTTTCAGAAAGCTGCTTTCTAAAATCACACACTGCCATTAAATTCCAAGTTATTACAAAAATTAAATAATTTTATGTTGTTAAATAAAATTATGAAAGCAACAACTATATTTAATTATTCTAGGTTTTAAAATTATGACTAAATGGGAATGATTTAATTTAAATAAAATATCTTTATAATGGTTGCCGCCTCAATCTTATCTCAAATCATGAATGGAAATATTCGCATAAAAAGCATACAATGAACTTGAAACATCTGGCTAAAGGCAATCTATAACAGTAATAAACTTCTCCAGAACCGAGAACAAGTGAGATAGGGATCACAGTTAAAGAAGAATGAGACAACATTTGCAAAATAAACACTATTTGCTGATGTAATTTGGAACATGAGATATTTCCCCTCTCTAAGCTGGAAATAAGGAATTTACGGATCGGCAAATTCATTTTGTAGACGTAAAGAGACTATGTTAAATAAGATTCACCTAAAGTATGTGCTTATCTGGAGTGGAACGGAACGGAGCTTAAGAGACATCCACAATGTAGTCTTAATAATAAACAAAGAGCTGGCCAAAATCCTCATCGAATATGTAAATATATCTCAAAGAGTCACAAACTATACTCAGAAATTACAATGTGCTATCAATGTTTTTATATTATCAATGAGTACGGCAACATCTAGCAAAAAGGTAAAATGCTCATATGAAGAGGATTTTTTTTTCTTAGTTATAATAACATGCACATTTTTTTTAAAAATTATCTGCTAACTTGGGAAAGCCCTAAGTAAAAAAATTAATTTTAATCTTTACTGCTAAATACAAGAGATTGTAACAAAGTTACTCTCTAGTTTAACAAAAAAAAAAAGGAACATTAACCATTTATGATTTGATCTTTACAATTTTTTAACAAAATGTGCAAAAACACATTTTTTTAAAACAATTTAGAAAATTAAAGCCAACATTCAGTTAGGTTTATTTTTCTCTTCATATCTGCGATTTGTTTCTAACTGATATTATCATATACTCACAAATACTTTGACCATTGCATCGTATACATATTTATATATATATAAAGTTTTATAAAGGAAACTGAATTATTTTACCTCTTTTTCAAGCAAACAACTTTTATATTTTTAACAAATCGAGTGTCACTTTGAATAATGATGCATTTATTTTCTAAAACTTAAAACGAAAAATTCTACATTTTTAAAAAAAAAAAGAAATCATAAAAACAACAATGAAATAAAAAAATGTGTCAATTAATAGCCCTGAAACTGACGTGGTACGTCTTGTATGATTGCTAAGGTCAGATCCAGTGGTCTAGGTTCCGTTTAATTCATGTCGCTTTTTTTTTTCTGTGACGTTTGAAATTCTATATAAAGTAAGATATTCGTGAATCAAAAAAAGTTTGTCCTCATATTTATCATTAAATTGTAATATTACACTAATTAATATGTGAACTTAAAAACGCGTAGTTTTATTTTATTGTAAGTAACATAAAAAACAGTGTGTGGTGTCGGTGTGGAATATCACACAGTCTCCTGTCACACTGACGAGTATTTTATGTAAATGTTGACTTTGAAACTTTTCAAAATTAAGTAAATCGATTATTGCAACAATATAATAATGTATATACATATGTATGTCACAAAGTGTGTCGTGGTTTGTATATTGCTGTATGATACTTTAATGGCAAAATTAAGACTACTTACCATTGGTTGAATTAGAAGTACTTGGACTTTCTTAACCACCTGTACCTGAAGAAAACAAAACCAACATGTATACACTAATTTGCTTTGTAGGTAAAATTTCTGAAACATTTATGTAACACGTAAACAACGTCATACTTTTTATATTAAAATATACACGATAAAATTGGTTGGTAATTATTGTAATACTTTTATCACATTCAATGTTTTTTTTTTCAAAAAGATTCGGTACTTTTAGTGATCCAACTGAATGGAAAGGATTTTGATTACATTGTACATATAGGCTACATTTTCAGCACACACAAAATACGTTTAAATAAAGTCAACATTATCCAACTAAGACAATTTAAACACAAGACATCTAAATTAATTAAATCTCTAGCTCAAACAAAAAAAAACCCAGCCAGGCAGTGGCCTCCCATACTTATAATAAGGGACTTAATTAGTGATCATTTAGATTTTGTGACCTCTGGGTAGCACGCTGTTAAATTCGTACATATTGGGGAGCAAAAGAATTATGTTATCGGTAAGGTCCTAGCTTTAAGAGAAAAATGTACCCTCATCAAGCTGATCTTAGGTTTATGGGGTAAAATGTGTGGGTTGTAATATACCAGTATCTTTTTTCAGCTTTACAACATCATTTTTCTTCAAATAGTTCCTGAGGTGAAGAATGTTTCTTCTGTGATATGCTAGTCATCTTGATTAGTATGTAACATCGGCGGTTTATGTCAGACGATGAATTCCCACATCAGCAGGGAAAATTAAAGTTTGGTTGGCTAACATTATTGCCCTTTAGAATGAGTTAATAACTTCTAGTTTACGCCGAAATTTAATTTAAAAAAAAAAAAAAAAAAAAAAATTAAAAAAAAAAAAATCATGGATGACTTTAGCGTGCATGATTTGGACGTGTTCACGGCTTAAGCAAGGGCGATCAATCCCATACACGTGTTGGAATAATGAGTTTAAAAGTATCTAGAATGATGTTCTTTTTAAATGTAGAGTTTTGCTTATAAGAACTTATTAAGCTCAAATCTGTATGGCCAGGAGTCTGCTACTGTTATAGTGTGCGGAACGCATGCTGAATAGTAAGCTCTATAGAGTAAGCTCTATAAGATTAAGCTCTATAATAGTAAGCTCTATAAGAGTAAGCTATATTAGAGTATGCTATTTATCAGAAAGATATATAAGAGAAAGCTCTCTAAGAGCACAATTTACAAGAGAAAATACTATAAGAGTAAGCTCTATAAGAGTAAAATCCACAAGAGTAAATTACCTCTGAGCTTTTAATGATATGCAATGTACGACATTATTTATCTGGAGATAAAACAAGGACTGCACCAGGATGGTTCTTTATAAAGCTGGACACTAACTTCTCCTGGTTTTTTTAAATAGTGACGACTAAAATAGGGTGACGTCAAACAATAACAATGGTTGGAGTACTTACGTATGGTGCGCTTTATAATCACCAACATCACAGCAAGAAATATCAATGCAAAATTGGCAACACAAAAGATAATCAACATTACTTTCCACACGTTTAGTTCGGTACCCGGTCCTTCAACTGTTGACAGGAAGAAAAAAAAAAAAAGAAGAAAAAAAGGCTTCAATCCAAAGTAAAAAATAAAAATAAAAATCACATCCTATTCATTCAACTAGTAAAATATTTAACGTTGCATTTTTTAATAATTAATTATGAAATTTAACGTTGTAAACAAAAGAAAAACAATTACACATATTTGATGAATTTATTGGAAAAAAATAGCATTTCATTTTCTCCAAGGTATAAAGAGCCCTCTACGTCAATACAAATGAAATGTGAGCATAACCAATTGTTGGTTAATGGTAAATTAATCTAATGAGTAACGTTACATATTTTAAAAAAAGAAACTGCAGATAGCTGTTTATGTAACATATAATTGTTTGTATAAAACACAAGTGTATGCCCTGCTGAGGAATTTGAAACAAAAATTATGTGAAGAATATCTCTCCATTCATATATCGACGCCCAAATTAAATAAAAAAACAACAAACAAACAAAAAAACAAAACAAGAACAACAAAACATCTTATAGTGATTAAAGATGACTTAATAAAAAAGAAATATTATGAAACCTAGCTTTTACATTAAATTATTTTCTAGGTTGCTTTAATTTTGTCGAAGTATCAAACATTTGAAATGTTTCATTTCGACAGTTACGCATATTGCCGTACATTGCCGGCTAAAAAAAAAAAAAGACAACTAATTTCCGAACTTTCAGTTGTATTAAAATATTTCAATATAAATACTTTGTGAACAGACGTGGCATAAAAAATGTAGTACTGTACTAGAGATTCCTAACGTACGAAATAGTGGTTTTCAGTGGTAAACTCACCATCTTATAACGTGTCAATAGGAGTGTTTTGATTGTTTGTTAAGATTTTTAATATAATTGCCATAGTAATTAGCAATTTTATTGAAAAAAAATTGTCGATTTTTTTCATCACATCTTTGATTTTACTTATCTCCTTTAGCTCCTTATATAATATATTTAATGTAACGACGTAGATTGGTAAGGGAGGCGAGTTTGTGACTCCCTGGTATGTAAAATAGAGCTGTTGATTATACCTAAATAAACAACTTGTTCTGCTTTCACTAAAATTATAATTACCAACATGCAGAGGTTATACTTACGGCTAAGATAAGGATATTCTGCCGCGCCAACGATAAGCAGCACTATATCCAGAATGGCAAGTAGTCCAAAAGATATGCATAACAATTTATGCTTATTCATAAAATCTATTATGTTCTTTAAGAGACAAATGCTATTCTTATTGACTGAAAAAACGGAAACACGAAAGTATGTTGTAATTGACATTTAAGATAACATGTTAACAATAAATACTTATGATAAAAAGATGTAAAAATCGAGGTGTCATTTTATCTAAAGCAGTAACATTTATTTAAACACAGCAAGGGGTAAAAATGCAGGCCCTAGAATTTAATTCGACACGTCTGTAGTGGCCAGCTGATCACGAGACGCTGCCACCGAGCCCCTGGTATTACGGGCGGGAGGGGGGGGGGAGTACCAACATTGTAGTGACCTTTGTTTGGAGTCAAAGAAGAGCACAGCTGTTACGGTAAATGTATGGTAACTGTATGGTAACAAATGGAAATAACGTAAGAAACAGGTCGGGATCACGCTTGCTGGCTGCCATGAAGGGATATGATGCATGGGTAGTAGGAAATCATTCCAATATTTCATATTTACAACCGGCGAAAAGATTGGTCCTAGGCAACAATTTCGTCCCATCTAATTTGTGAGCTCTTCATAAGGTATAGACCACCAACAACCAGTTGCTCCTTGGTTGGAATTGCCGCTGTTTATGTAGTCAGTGGAATGACTGCATGGGGGAGGGTGGACTCAACAGCAGAGTACTCCAGACATGTCGTTTGGTGGCCCATAATTTGTACTCTCGGGTTGTAGGGCAGAGTGGGTACATTGAGAAGCACATTCTCAGCAGCTCACTTTTTGTTTTAATTTGATAGTTAATGCAGAAGAAGGGTATACTGCTTTATATAGGCTGGTGTAAACAAATTATAGTGGATCGATCCTTTTTCGAAGATGTTATATTCCATGGCTGATTCCCCCCTTGGAATACTATCGGATGAAGGTACTTAAATCGAAACAGATTTTAAGCTAAATTAAATAAATTTAAAAGCAACTCTTATTTATGGCTTTAAATACTTACGTAAACATAGTGTTGCTATGCCAACTCCAATAGCACCAATCGTGATGATGTTAAATATGACAAACAATGCTAAACACGACTCTTTGCAATAGGGCGAAGATGACGATGGATCTGGAATTTAAAGTACTTAACATTTATTTTGCATATGGCTTTCGAATTTTATATACATATCTACTGGAATCCAAGCATTGAGAAGAAAAGGCATTATTTAGCTTTCAGTGGAAGGAAGTAGTAAGGCAGGTCGTAGCCCTACATGTGCTGAAGCACCACAGGGATTGATGAAATGAAAAAAAATATTTTAAATCAATTTTATAATGCATTTTTGGCGAATCTAGAAATAAGGCCAAGGAAATAGGGTGAGCGTTAGGAGATGGTTGGACATGTGTTGACACGGAAGTCGACGTAAAAATGTCTACATTTAGTTTTATTTAAAAAATTAAAATTTTAACATTTGTTTGAAAATATTTCAAATTGATATATCAGCACATTTGACGAGGTATTGGGCTTACAAAATTAACTTATGCTCCCAAAAAAATACATATTTGAATATGCGGCTAGATTGTGTGATTGCCAAAAGACATATCAAGGTAATAGCAGTTAATGCAATATAAGAGAAAAGGATGATATTTAAGAACTAAATGGCGAAAAAAGAAAAGGACAATATCAGGCAAATTCAAAATAATATTTGTAAGGCGATGAAAAAAATAATCCGTTACTGAGCGCTATGATGGCCAAAGGGGAACATTGGACTTGTCGTGTAGATGAAAACAAAAACTAGTTATACATTTACGAAAGAAAATGGTGAGAACGTATCCATTATTAAATAAATTTTGCAATACAGATTTAACTTTAGTCATATATTCTAATCAATTATTACAAATATTTTTTGAAAGAACACATCCGTTAAACCTGTCAACATTATCAGTCAATTTTCATCCCCCTCCTTTGGCTATGTAAACAGATGACCAGATATCAAACCTTTCTCGTGTTATTATATCAGCAATTGCCCCCCTCCCCACCCCATTTTTTTTTCCTGGATTTTTGGAAAATGGTAAAACGACTCTGAGAAGATTTCTGGAGACGGGAAATAGTGGACATATATATTAATTGCGTCCGATTTATTTTGAGTTTTTTAAAAAAAATATAAGGAGTACGATTAAAAAAAAAAAGTAGAGAGACATAATGATTACCGAACTTTTTATTATCCCACAACTTAGTTTACATATTATAGAACAGCTTTAGCTCTTTAAAGACCACTTTTGACGTAATTGATTGCATTTTAAATGTGATCCAAACACTAAGATACTTATAGGTTATTTCATGCTTTAAAAAAAATTATAAACATTGATCTTTAAAAAAAAAATAAAAAAATCAATCTGGATTTTTAAATGTACAAACTATTGTAATATTAAATCAAATTAATATTTCAGAAGTATTCAAAAACGAATGCTTAAGTGTTTAATTAAGAAAAAAAATCAAAATTCAAAGAGAGCTTTTAAAATTTCCTAAATTAATTGTGATCATTCCAAAAGGCAAGCCTGGTCAAATATATATATATAAATAAAAAACAACAACAATTACCTATTGATATTTGACATTCGAAACTAGTTGCAGGCCTTCCACAAACAGAATACGTAAACGTCAAAACATGTGATGTAGTTGCCAATACATTAGTGGGCACATTGTACGTTATGACGTCATCACCGCTCATCGATTTTGCGTTGTCCAAAGTTATTGTTAGCCGACATGGAGATGGTGAGTTTTGACATCGAAACTTGAACACAGAGGAGTGTGTTACATTCACTGGGCAGGCTGTGTTCCTGCCGTCTATCGTCAACACTGAACTCACGGAGTTCAGATCTTAAAGAATAAATATAATATACATACGAATCAAGTATACTTATAACATAAAATAAATTAAGTTTTAGGAATGTCTATGACAACTAAATACATCTTTTAGAAATGTAAAAGTACATTGTGTAGCATTCTAACAACAAAAATATTTGGAAAATCAAATAAGCTCCAAAAAATATTTACCGTAAATGTCTGGCAGTCTAAGGACATTACTTTCGACAGCATTGCTGCCAGAAGTGTTTGCCCATCTTAACCTGATGTAGGCCTTGCTCTCAACAGCACTGACCGTTCTGTTTAGAACCACCTCATAAATAGTTCCTACTTTTGAAGCACAGTAGCAAAGTTTGCTGCTGGGCATGGCGCATGTTATGATGTCGAGTGTACAGATCTGTGTATAAAGTGGTATTACATTAGCCAATAACAGTGAAGGTGGGACATCAGCTAGTAGGTATGAAGGTATGAAAGTAATCAGGGGTATGAAGGGTTATTATTTTGTTAACCACAAACCGATTTTTCTAATTAGAGGCGTAGCGAAGGGGGCAGGGGGAAAGAAGACCCCGGGCGCAAGCTAGTTAAGGCCGCCACAATGTGCCTTGATATTATTTTATTTATAAAAATAACGGGTTTGAGAAAAAAGACAAGCGGGCGCTTTAAAATGAACCTTGCCCCTGGGCGCAAATCTTGCCCCCCCCCTGGCGCCAAACACCCTCGACGCGCCACTGCTTCTAATGACTTGAACAAGTATTTACTTATTTAGAATTATTTGTGTCTCAAAACTCTTTTATCAAGAACATTTTTAAAAGTATTGTTCTATTAAAAAGAATAGTTTTAAAAAATAAAAATAAACATTAACACATAATTCTTAAAATCGAATGTAAATCATAATAACATTTATAATAATATCTTTAGTTCATAAAGAAGTTTATGAAGACTTACGCTTTTAAATTCCGTCTCGTTGGTCCACATGATTTGGAAATCGACCAAGTTTGATAAGACTGGCGCCGTCGCATTGACTGTGGCCTTAACGATATAGTTGTCCTTCTCAGATATCAGACCACGCACGCACCCAGAGATACTTTGTGTAGCCCATGAATGAAGCCACACACTCTGGCTTAAGGCACCTACAAACAAGTTGGAAAATATCTATTGACAGATTACATTTTTTTTTTTTAAGGTTAAAAGGACTGTGACTTGAACGCCAGTCCCCAGAACGTCAATTCAGACAGTCCAATAGCACACTAGTTATTAGAACATGCAAGGCTACCAGGATTTTAGCCGCTGATAGTTATTGGTGAGGTAAGTGTTAAGTTCTAATGGTATAGTTACATTTACCCACGTTTTTTCCTAAAATAAAATATAGGAGAATACGAAAGAAGAATGCAAAAAAGTTAAAACGATCATCTCTGTTGAATCGCTGTTAAATATTGAACAATATTCTGCAAACAGCGCTAACCGAAGTCAAACCATGCTGTCATATAGTGAGACAGTGCATGCTGCCATACAGTGAGATAGTGCATGATGTGAAACATCATACATTGATATAGTGCATAATGTGATACCTCATCCATTGATACAGTGCATGATGTGATACCTCATACATTGATACAGTGCATGATGTGATACATTGATACAGTGCATGATGTGATACCTCATCCATTGATACAGTGCATGATGTGATACCTCATATATTGATACAGTGCATGATGTGATACATTGATATAGTGCATAATGTGATACCTCATCCATTGATACAGTGCATGATGTGATACCTCATACATTGATACAGTGCATGATGTGATACATTGATACAGTGCATGATGTGATACCTCATCCATTGATACAGTGCATGATGTGATACCTCATACATTGATACAGTGCATGATGTGATACATTGATATAGTGCATAATGTGATACCTCATCCATTGATACAGTGCATGATGTGATACCTCATACATTGATACAGTGCATGATGTGATACATTGATACAGTGCATGATGTGATACCTCATCCATTGATACAGTGCATGATGTGATACCTCATACATTGATACAGTGCATGATGTGATACATGGATATAGTGCATAATGTGATACCTCATCCATTGATACAGTGCATGATGTGATACCTCATACATTGATACAGTGCATGATGTGATACCTCATACATTGAAACAGTGCATGATGTGATACATTGATATAGTGCATAATGTGATACCTCATCCATTGATACAGTGCATGATGTGATACCTCATACATTGATACAGTGCATGATGTGATACATTGATACAGTGCATGATGTGATACCTCATCCATTGATACAGTGCATGATGTGATACATTGATACAGTGCATGATGTGATACATTGATACAGTGACTGCGACGTTTTGTCTTAAGTATGCAAATTGTTTCCTGAATTGAGAACAGCTGCTTACGGTCAGTTTGACATAGTATTGTATATTTCATATAACTACAAGCAATACTTAGTCTGAAAACAGAATTAAAAGTAAACAATTACGTGACCAATTATGGACGTCTGTAAGGCTTAAAACTGGGCATCGTCTAGAGTATCCTATTTGACATTTGAGACCGACGTTCTTGGGATTACCACTTGAATGATATTGTCAGAAGCTAAGCAAGAAATAATGTTCTAGCCAATTTCTAAAATTCCACAAGTTAAGTTTACCTTGTATAAGCAAAAATACAAAAAGATAACCAGAAGTTGCAATCAGTGCGGCCATAGAAGTTGCTGATGAATTCATCTGGAATGTTCTTTCTTCTTCGCCAGAATGAAGTATTCTGAAAAATTAAATAAATAAAACTGTCTAAAATTACAGTGTGAGTTTTTTTTTTAAATATGCAACGTATAAACACTATGAAAATATCAATGTTTTAGTGGAATATATGTGTTCAGTTTTCAAAGTTACCCAATAAAACAATATACCAGCATTAAAAAATAACGTATGCTACCAATTCTCTAAATACACTCTGACTTTACAGCATCTGTCGAGTACGGGTGCTTCCTAAGAGTTGATGCGCACTGGCTGTTATGTTTCATTAGGCGCCCTGTGTTTTTGGGACATTCATTAGTTGGTGAACGCTCTGGCCATGTTTGATTTGGTGACGTATGTTTATGCTTATCGTGATTCAGTGTCTCGTTTTATTTTGTGACGTATGTGTGATACATCGGCAGTCGCAAAAGGAACTTTGTTAAAGAAGGTTGTGTTTTATTTATCTCTGATATTGAGCTGTTAATTGATATGTTTATGGAATTTACAGTCTGGGATTATTTATATATATTAAAGTTGTATTTATTAAGAAAAATGATGTCAGTTGATTCTATGCTAGTGTGACGTATTACAACATCTAAAATAAATTTCTAAATTAACCAATCTGGTATTAACATGAGTGTGACATGGGCGCTACTAATCTTTGATGGCTAAGCCTCGTAATGATCTTACTTTGGAGTAAAGTACAAGAACTTTCTTTTTATTTCAAATCTTGTGAGTCACAATCATCGTCGCATTTTCTTGTGTTTCATGATTGGAATTCTTCTGCCACCATGTATCAAGTTTGTATGTGTACATAAGCCAGTGACTCCATCAGCTACCTACGCCCTGTATCAGGTTAGCTACGACCTGCCTTCTATCAAGTTGCTAACGCCCTAACCCGATTCAGTGAAGTATCTACGCCTTTCCTTGTATCAGTTTAACTAGGTTCTGCCTTGTATTAATTCAACATCGCTCTTTCCGTTATTGAGCAATTAACGTGCTTTCCAGTTCCATCGAATTTATTATGGCCTATCCTGTATCCGGTTAACAACGCTCTGCCCTGTTCAGGTTAACTACGTCCTTCCCTTTATCCAGTTGTAAAGGCCCTGTCCTGTATCAGCGATCCTCCTACCACTGTGTGCTGTAAGCTACCTAGGAAGTGGTCAATATCTTGCCTGGTGTCCGGTTGAGCTTTCGACGTCCCGTGCCACTGTCCGGTTACCCAATTAAAAACGTCCAGCCCTGTATCAACGCGCCACCAACGACCTATCCAGTACCACGCTGACCTCATCCTGTATTGGCGCGTTACCAAACTGTCCTGAGTCGGCGAGTCACCTACACCCTGTCCAGTGAGACGTCGACGTCTTGTGAAGTGACCAGCCACCCACAAACTAATGACGGGGAATCATACAATCTCGTGATTTGCCAAGGTCTAGTAACAATTATTGAAACTATTTTGTGACTGTTGACAATTAATTCAAGAACCTCTCGTGTGAAACTATGGACATTTCATTAAGCCCCGGGAAGCGTTTGTCTTCTGGGTTATTTATTAATATTTATTTAACTTCCATTACGACATTACACAAAACAAGGACAATTATTATTTTTAAAAATATGTATTTATTCGTAGATTTACACTTGAAAAAATTTAGTTTTTACCAACATATATTTATAGATATTATGGTTGATCATAGGAAAGCATATCTGTTTATGGAAACTAGGAGCAAAGATTACACAAAATGAGAACATAGGAAAAAAATAACATCTATTAGGAAAACGGGGTGTTACTCTCCTAAATGGGTGAGACACTAGAACACTACATGAGAGTAGAGTTTCAAGATGAGTACGGGGAGAAAAAGAGGAAGGATTTAGAGCTAATCAGTGAGAGAAAGAAGGTATAGATTCAGATAAACAGAGACAATATGAACTAGATAAACTTGAGAAAGAAATTAAACTTGTTGAGATGAATAAAAAAAAAAACAGAATATAATCTGTTGAATAATAGCAAACCAAGAACAAACAAAAATAATAATTTACAGAAAAGTCAGTAGAAATATTACAACACTCGCGAACTGGACGAATACATCGTTAATTTTGAACACATTAGCCACTCAAAACTATGTAACAAAGATGAGTGGATTACCGAACTAGAGTTTAGGTTGACCGGGGTACAACAATCTTTCCTTTTGACCGAGGACGTAAGACAAAAACGGTCGGAATACTCCACCTTTAAATTGCTACTACTTAAGCATGCTGGTTACACTGGGGAAAAGAAAAGAGATAAATGGAATAGTTTGACATCCAAAAATGACAATTGTAAAGCTTTCCATTCTTATCTAGCTAGAAGTTTAAATAGCTGGATTGCTAGCTCTAAAACAAAGAAAACATTTGAGGGACTTAAGGAAATATAGTGTATAAATAATTTATTACTAAATATGAACAGCAACTCTTTCAAAAGTGTCAGTACTTAAAGCAAAAAAGAACAACAAAAATTGTGAGAAATGTGAAACAACACAGACAAGACAAGGAGATAACAGGGGAGACAAATGTACTGGTATATCCGTAAGACTGGATGTAATGTAAATAAATTTCAAATGCCCAGACACGATATAAAGAGACAAACCACGAAAAACAACCTCTAGATATAACATACGGCTCCAAAGGGTTGGGAATAATGTTTAGAGAGGCTCGCTTATGTGCGAAATGTAATGAATGGTAATTGAAGTACTTAGAAAGTCAACAGGAAGGCTAAACGTTGACAAGAAAATTCAGTTTATTGGGTTAAAAAAAGAAGGCTTGGTACCAGGAAAAGCAATAAAAGACATGACGTATCCAATTACTTTTTATTGATGGGACGATAAAGACTTATACAACATCATAAATAAAATAAAAAAAAAGTTAAGCAATTTTTGTGGCTAAGATTTTTGGTCCCTCTTTAAAAAAAAAAAACATTCACGATATTATAATAGGAAATGTAATGGACAAAGATAACAGATCATTAAAAAACCACGGTAATGTAGTTATCAGTGCACACGCTGAAATAATTTTGCCTATGATAGGCCCTTGAAAAATACAATAATGAAATGTGTCACAAGTGTGTGAACTTTTTAGTATAAGGATTAATTGGTCTTCAAACTATCACCCAATATAATAGGGGAGTGGAATGATTGAATGGTGTGCTAGAAGGAATGTTTAGGAAAGTTGCCAGTGAAGAACCAGACAACTGGGATAGATTTGTAGCAGCAATTATGTTCACAAATCGGGAAGTCCCGAGTGGACCAAGCTATTTTCACCGTATAAACTTATCTTCGGTAAGAAGGTTGGGGGAGCGATGTCAAGATAAAAGACAGCTACTTACAAATTAAAATATAACATAAGCGGATATGACTGTTTAACGTATGTATTAATTCACATAAGGGGAAAAAAAACAGGGCTTGAAGAATCACAAAATAACCTAGATAAAAACGGTACAAAAAATTAAAGAAATTATGACCGCATACAATTAGTAAATATTCAAGTGGGTGATTAAATATGGGTGATTAAACGAAAAATGGGGGGGGGGGGGGAAAAACTAGAATTATACTAAAAAGAACCATTCAAAATAGCTATTTAATTGTCTAAACCTAATATTGAAATACGTAATGGACATAGAAAAAAAAAATAGAGTTACCAAATATTTTGACAGACATAAATGTACAGAAACAAAAAATAACAAAATGCATGGTACAATCGCATCATTTGTAAGAGTACAGGAATCTGAAGACACACTCTGTATTTGTAAAGATATGCATGCACCTGTTATTAACCATCGTGATAACACAGTGATTGACATTAATACTTAACAAAGTGATACACAGAAGGCTGAAGTTAATGAAATATTACACGAGTTTAAGGACATAATAAAATAATTTCATATATTCCGGAAAAACCTCCGCTGGTATCATGATATAGAATTTTGTGGATAGAAAACCAATAACTCTAAAGCCGTACACCGGGCCACTACATATGGTAGAAAGTTTAAAGGTGGAGATTAATACAATTTTAAGCCCTTGAATAATAGAAGGGCTAAATTCACCTTTTACCTAAGAAATAAATAAAAAAAATCAAACATTGCCTATAAACAAATATTTACATTTTTATAGGTTATCTTACGCATATTTTGACTGCCATTTTTAGCACAATCAAGTAGATCCGAAAAAAATTGACATACTAAAAGCCAAGATCAATAATCGAAAATGAATGGCACCAGATTAGACTGTATACGTAGACATGTATGTCAGGCACAACAAATCAATAGTGTTGGAAAGTTACTGAGCAGACCACCATTTAACCAGTGAATGTAAGTAAGTAGATTCGTATTCCGCACAAATTATCTTAATGTGAACAATATATGAAAGTGATAATAAACTATTATGTTTACAAAACCAAAGATCTAGCAAAGCCTACCTTCCATGGCGACTAGAGGAGTAGATAGACATTGAACATGTCACGCAAATGTTAAGTGTCTAAATACCGTATGTCTATGTCAGGGAAATCCCCTTGATGAAAGCGCTGGATTTATTTTGATTCATGACAGTGCCTTTCTCCAAAATATGTGTCAGGGTTTAATAATAATCCCGTAAATCTACCTGTTTCTGCCTTGTGACTGTCTTTCTCTCTCTATATTTATATGTACATCTTTAAAACTATATTTTAATTTGCCTTAAAGCGTAACCAAGTGTCACGCACTACCTTCTATTGTGAGAAACTAATCACTATATCAAGTTTATGGCTCGTTCTACACAGTCCCTAACAATGGACGATATCATAGAGAAATATAATAGCAAACAATACGACACTCAAAACAGTACTAATTACAATTATTAAGATTTATTTAAGTATTAATATAATTACAAGACAAAAAAAATATAATTACAATCATCAACTTACAGAGTATGAGATGTCTTTACTGGTACACAGTTAGTACAATGTGCCAAATAATAAAGCACAATGATTTAATGTTAAAAACAAACATGAGTACACACAATAG